GCGGTGGGTGGCGTGCGGTGGGTGGCGTGTGGTGGGTGGCGAGCGGTGGCCCCTGCGTTGCCTTTGGCTTCCCATTCCAACCAACCAGACGTCAGTCAAGTTGGGGGAGTAAATCGAGATAGAACCCACAGACCTAACTCACCTAAGTGAACACACCTGGGACTGGTCCACCTGCAAAGACTCAAGTTCTGCCACAAAAGCCAAACAGAGCACCACCCGACGCCGGACCGTAGTCCAGTCTCAGTCAGTATCTTGGCCATTGTTCTGGTCCAGCCGCCTTGCCTTGCCTTGCTTTTTGCTAATGTGTTGTTTTTCTCCGTGCCTCAGTCCTGATTGTCCCAGCCTGGAATTCCTGCCTGTTAACTATCAGGACCCAGCTGGGCCCACTCCGGTAGATGTCACTGGATTCCCAGTTGCCAACAGTCGCCATGCCACCTCTGCCTGACCTTTCCGGTCCACCTTCCTCCTCGTCTGTGGGACCAAAGTCTCCCTGCTCCCTCCCTGGGTTTTGTGTGTAGTTGTAGGATAAATATTGTGTGTTTTGCCGAGTTGTATCGTCAGTCTAGGTCCAAGTTTTCACCGTGTCGGTGCTCTGTCTTCCCTGTTAGGCTGGTAGCACATTCTGGTTTACTCCTATAGCTTCCCTAGTTTGGTGGTACCAAGTTCTGGTTTGATCCTGTGTGTTAGTTATTCTAGAGCTCATGGATGCCTGTTGTGTGTTTTTTGCTGTACATAATTTCTCTGGCAGCCCTGTAGGGGTGGTTGTTGTGTCAGTGTTTCCTGTTGTGGTTTTTTAGTGAATGAATGTCTTCTGTCATGTCCTGCTGACTTGCCGTGTCTCTGGTGGCCTGTGCCTGAGTCTCCGATCTGATCCGTGACAGTAACAACAGTTTATTTCATGCATTATTTAACACAACAGTTCTTTCAGTGACTGGCTACAGGTTCGTGGTGACCGTGGCTTCTCTCACGGGGAGCTTCCCCCATTGACATAAACACTCAACACAAGCATGTGATGTATGCCGGACTCATCCAGGAACGCCACTGAGCTGAACAATTCTTTGCTCAGACCACCGGCAGTCTGGCTGTCCGTCTCTTGTGTCTTTAAGTCGGTGTTTGCACACCTGTCCTGCCGCAGTGGTTTAATGAGTTCTGTGCTGGACGCTGATGTCAGATCCAGTCCAGCAACATATACTCAGTCCTTTTGTTTCACTTTGCCATTAGTTTCATATTCAGATTCGTGGTTGGTGCCTCCTGATGGTCCCGTCTCTGTGTTACATCACATACATACGTCTGCTTCTCAGTGATCCGTCTGAAACCACTGCTCTCCTCATATTTTATGTCTGTCTTTGCAAAGTCGTGACATTGGTGATTGGACCTGTTCTGTTTGTGGGAGAGCTTATCCCAGACGTCACTGACATACGTGTCCAAGTTTTGACCTGGAGAGTTAAAGGTGACGGACGTCTGCCTCGTTTCCTTTCTAGTTTCTGACTTCAGAAACTGTTTGTATGCAGCACATTTCTGCCATCAGTCGGTCCAATGAGACCATTTCTAGCCGCTTTGCTTGACCGTCTTAGTGCTGCTGGACAATGAACGGGTCCGACACCGACCGCGCTCAAGGCTAGAAACGGACCGCCTACAGGAGTCTCTAGAGCAACACTGCTGGATGAGCAAACAGGGTTTAACAAAAAGTGTTGGGCTAGAAAATGTCATTTTATTATGTATTTGAACAGTATTTCCCACCAACATCATTTTCATGCAAATGTTAGCAAATGAAGCCTCTGAGTTTTAATTGTCTTTAAAAAACAAAAAGTTACGGTTGGGTGAAGAAATCCAAAACACATCAAATATTAAGGCTATTGGTCATGACAGCTGAGCAATCCTTTCACATATTACATGCAGTCTGAATAAAAACATGTCCTGCTTTCACCAACTGATAACACTTGACTGACTCCACAGTAAAACGATAAAGGCCAAAGTCTGAAGGAATACAGTAGAAATCTATTGCCATAGAAACACAAAAAGCAAGCCTTACAATCAAACTGTGAAGTTCATTATTACAGTGAGGTACAGCACTACTTTGAAGAGTGTGTACTCTTATTCCCACACTCACATAGCAGATACACCAACAGTAAAAGAAGAAGAGAATCTCTGAGCTCCTTTGTGGCGACCCATCTCTGCGTATTGAAACAGAACCAGCAGAGAATAACACGTCTACACCGTCTGGTCTCTCAGAAGTCATCCTGGATTCATCCTGTCTGAGACGGCGTGTGATAAAAAGACACGGCTGATGGTGCACAGCATACATAGAATCAGTGCTGCGTGGTTCAGTCCAAGCCACTTTGTTTCCTATTAATAGAACCAGGGCTGAGTACAAACAGAGCAGACAGCAAGTGGACTGTCTGGATGTATGGCTGGAAAGTGATTTAAAAAGAATTCGGTCCAAGTAGCATCATACAGTTCACCTTGAACAGCTCTGACATCAGCAGAACAGTGAACCTGACAGTGAAGCCATGCACAATTATTCAAAGGTGTCAGTGAGCAAACACACCAACATACAGAACAAGTGGACACGAGCTCGACTGTAAATGGTAAATGAAATAAAAAACTGACTTCAGCCAGGACTCCGTCTCCCAAAAAGAATTTAGAATTATTCTACATGAAATTATGGAGAGAGAGAGATCACATGTAACATCTGTAAAAACAATCCATTTAAAACTGAGGGAAGAGAGATGAACATTTTGTATTGCTCTATAATACACACCGTAAGAAAAGAATTAAAGTACCAACAGTAGGTCTAGTTTTATAAAGTCAGAAAAGATCATCCATAGAGAAAAAAACTATCACAAAACATGTGAAGCATTCTTCAGTGTAAATAAGTCAATTCAAATAATTTCACCATTTTGGTGTCTCTAACTGTGAAAGACAGTTTCATTTCTGTGATTGTATCAGCGTGTGGTTTCATTCTGCAGTGCGTTTGTGTCCAACACTTCAGTTATTGGTCTAAAAACAGGTGGTCCAAGCACAGCAGAACATTCGTTACTAAAATAAGTCAAAGACAAAAGTTAACAGTCCAGTGCTTTGTGAAACGTTCCAACACTGAGAGAGGTCCTACAAGTTTGTTGTTGCTAACCCTACCTTATTACAAACAGCAAGTTAGGGTTAGCTAGCTAACGCCCCCTTCTCACCGCTCAAGTTCGTTATAGACAGGTGTAGGAATGAGAATGTGGACAGAAGACACTGCGTCTTCAGCAGCACTTCATTTTGGAGCTCATGGTTGAACAACCGCTGGGTGCAGCATCCAGACATGCAGCTCCTGCACTCAGAATAGGTTTGAATGTGGTTCTAACTCTGCGGTTTGAACAACAGACTGGCAACAGGATGGCTGCAGACTCTACTGTTCAACGAACTGAAATTAAAACTTAACAGTAACAATGTCAGGCAGGAGAGCAAACTACAGAGCAACTGAAGGTCCAGAAAAAACAAACTGAAAGGCCAAGTGATTCTCTAAAGGAAACAATCTAGAGAACAGCAGCAAATCCAGAAAAGCACAAAAAGCAAACCTGATGGAGCACAAGGAGGAAGTGGGGCTGGAGCGAAGGAGGTGAACAGGAAGCTGACGGACGGACATATGCTCACTTATAAAGACAACTGATGTGGAAGACACAAGTGAAACTCATGAGGGCAACCAAAATAGGAGGGAAACAGACAAAGCCAGGAAGTAAAAACACACAACACACACAAGGGAAAGCGATTTCAAAATAAAACCGGAAGTAACATGAAAGAGACACAAATAGGAACACAAGCAGGAAGGAAAACAAAAACAAAAGCCAAAGACAGTAACACTGTTTGATCATGGACTTCACCTTCTCATTCTGTACTGCTCTCTGCAACGTGATTTGTGAGGGGATTCTTTATACAGGACGAGTGAATGAGGACACAATTTGGGAAACATGTTTTAAATTTTTAGATCAGGTTAAAGTTTCTTAAACCCTTCGTTAGCTGTTTTACAAGTTCGTTGACAAACCTCTCTCTGTCCTGGAAGCACAGAAATTAACCTGATACCTTTGTCCTCTCCTGACTCTCTACAAGTTGGAGAACATTAGGATTTATTGTATAGAAAAGATATTCTTTCATCGTTGTGCTGACCTGATGGTGTACAACTATATACATCTTGTGTTCATTATTCGGTGCCATATTTACTCTTTAATCCTAGCATTTAAAACATGGAGCGCTCTGCATTAGGAGGCGTAGACTTGTTTCTGCTTCATGTTTTAGACAGCAGCAACATGGGGAATGTACTTTTCCCTGAATGTTACTCTGTTTACTTGATGTTACTGGATGATGTGATAAAGCGTGACGTTGTACAGAACTTGGTGGCCGTTGTTCCAGGCATAAAGCGCTCTGTCTCGAGGGTTGTAGTCAAGCATGGACAGGTGGCTGTATTTATTGGTCAGAGGAATGTCAATGTACTCGTAGGTGGAGGAGTTGGTGGAGTAGGCGTAGTACACTTTGGTTCCACCAGAGTACCCATTGGTGACGTACAGGGTTCCACAGATCATGAACGCCTCACCGGCGCTGCGTTTGGGATGGTTGGTAGTCCAGCTGCGGATGATCTGCAGAGTGTTTGGGTTTAACTGGCTAAGGACGATGTTACCAGCATTCTGATTGGTAGCGTAGACAGCCCAAAGCCCGCCCTCGTCCACCATGAGGTCGATGTCGGAGTGCCCCCCCCAGGAATAGTGGTACATGTTGTTGTAACCAGCGAAGTCGAGCTGTCGCGAGCGGCTTATAAGCGACGTGCTGAAGTCGAACTTGATGATGGTGTGACTCTGAAACTTGTTGAAGTAAATGGATCCATTATAAACCACCTGACCAGTACCGGACCAGGGGTGAGGCAGGCGGTGAGATGTGAAGTTATCTGTCGTCATGAAGTCATACATTGACTGATACTCCCTGACAAAGCGGTTGTTATGGTAACCATCCATGTACCACACCTGTAAAGACAAACACCAAGTAAGTAACGAGGAAGTCATTTACCAACATAGAAAGATTGTAATAGTTTGGTATTAGTGTGTGTGTGTGTGTGTGTGTGTGTGTGTGTGTTCCATAGACGCTAGCATCTAGCACCAACGCTACTGGAGTGGCTGATTGTCTTCTCCAGGTAAACAACAGGAGCGACTCTGATTCTGGTTCATCTCTTACTGTTCCCGCTGAGCCTGATGATGCTCAGCCTGTTCCTGTCCAGTGTACATACTGACTGTTAGGTAGCTTTCGCTCTCACACCAAGGCAGTGTAAGCATGACCACTTGTTAAAGGCTGAAGGTCAATGAGCTGCTGCTTCCGTGTGCCTCTTCCACAAAGTGCTTGTTCTTCTGAGCGATGTAGTAAAATCAGGTGTGGTGCAGGTGTCTGGCTTTTGAACCAACTCAGCTACAACTTCTCTAGCTGGTCAGAGTCTCTCATCAGATCTCCATCTGCCTGGAGCCCTCAGCCTGTGGCTTATGTTTCACTCATGTGCTGTTGTTCTGGAGACTCACTCTGTTGTCTCCAACCGGAGCGAGCGGGTCCGTCATCCATGATCCAAATCTGGATCCAGATGTCTTGATGGTGATTGGCTCAGAGATCCCCGTCAACTTCCCACAAGCTAAAAGACAAACAGCAATATTTGGAGATACAGGGTGGACAAAATAACAAGAACATCTCTGTAAGCTGCAGGTGACGCTTCTTCAGGTGTTCGGAGTTCTAACCCTAACCCATGCTGTCTGAAGCGCTGAACATGGAGTCAGCAGAGTTTTACAACACATTTAAAACAGATGTTCAGACAAAATGCTTTCCACAAGAGAAAAGAGAATGACATTACAAAAGTACCAAACAAGCATAATTATTTGGGTTAAGACCCTAAAGTAATGTACATTATATACATCTGCTCTGCTGACGTAGAAGTCGTTGTACTTGTGCTTGTCACTCTGATGATCCACCAGAACCAGTGGACGACGATGTGACCATGTCCAACCGACTGATACAACCCACACAGACCGGTGCATGCTGTCCGGAGGGGACTCCAGAACGGTCTGTGTGCTTTACACCGTGGTGTCTACCATTTGGTACCCACCAAGCCTCTGCATGCAGGCCCTCAGTCGGTCCTCCAGGCTCATCACTCGGCTGTGGAGCTCCTGGTAGTCCAGACCCCCCATTTGCTCCTGCAGTGTTCCCAGCAGCTCTGTCACATTCGCTGCCTCCTCTTTAAACTGTCGGACCAGCAGAGCGTCTGCCTTGTAGGCCTCCAGGACCGGGATGAGCGGACGTAGCTCCTCCATCTTGGCTTTGATGGACTGACAACAGCACAGATAAAAAGGTTCAGGTGAAGGAGGTCAGAACTGCAGCTGCTGAGCTGCTGGACATTCAGTAGATTTGGAGAAGGTGCTGCTGTGAACTGGATTGTTACTGATCTCAGCATTTAGAATCATTTTAGGAAACATAATGCTTCACAATGTGTAGAGAGACAGATAGAGCTGCTGATTGGTTGGTCAGTGCTATGATGTCATGATGTGGGCGGTACCTTGTATTGTCTGGCGATGTTGGTCTCGTGTCCGTCCTCCACCTGTTTGAATTTGTTTTCCAGACCTTTAAGCTGAACTTCCATCTTCTCCACAAACTGCAGATCTCTCTGAGTGCGCTGATCCAGAACCTCGATAGACTGACTCATGTTCTGCACCTGGACAGCGTCACATCACAAGCATCAGTGTCCCCGTTGTACATGACACACGCTAACAACAAACTGTCTGCTTCATCGTTCATGGTTGTGCAGGACACCAAAGCATCAGTGCATCTTCAGTAGACAGTACAGGACACGTCTAGCTCTAGCAGGACTGGACTAGAAGGACTAGAAGTATGTCAACCTTTTCCAGTAGCTGTCGCAGCTGTTTGGTTCGAGCATCTCTGGAACAGACGGTCTGCTGCGGAGCAACCACTGTACAAACACATCGACCTTCAGAGTCCTGCGCCGAACTGTACACCTGCCAGCCCTCCTCAGGGGTAGAAGGACCCACCTGTCAGAGAGAGGCATCAGGACAACAGTGGAAATGAGAAGTGCTGTTCATTACTGTCACCTCTGCATGTTGTGACAAATCAGGGCCAGACAGAGGCAGAGGCAGCGCTGCAGCCTTCCAACCTGTCAGACAAGCGGCGGGGCACACACACTCAAGTGTTTGTCTTCTTCTGAAGAAGAAGTCTTTTGAATTATTAAAATCAAGTGCAAACATGTGCTAGGTGCTGCCCTCTGCTGGCTGAAGTCATTACAGCACCATGACCTATTTATATGTGGCTCTGATCTGTGAACAGCTTCGTTCACTTGGACTTAACCATCTTCTTCTTGATTTAATGTGCAGTTTAAACACGACGCTGATGTTTTAGTTTGTCATGTGACCATTTAGAAACGCAACTACACAACAGCTCTCTCTTTTGAAGGCCCTAGAGAGAAGCATTGACTTCTTTGTCTCTTATATTTCTGACATGAAACCCTGTGAACTGTTGAAGGCTTTTCTTCCAGTTTTCTCTGTACTGACAGACTTCTGTGAGGGACACTGAAATGTCTGCAGAGTGAAAGACAGTCAGGGTTAAAAACAACAGAGAATCTGAAAGCGAGACGAGATGGAGAATTTAAGGCTGCTGATCAGGATGGAAATGAAAAAGGTGTTAAATATGTGAAAACCAAAGAATGTGTTAAAGATGTGTTAAATACACACTGCGTAGTTGTTTTTAGGAACAGAACATAGACAGCTGAAGGACATCACACTTTGGGATGAACTAGAAGATGTTCTGGATGTTCTTTATCTCCATCAGGAAGCCGACACGCTGGAAGTGAACGCCACCATTTAGCTGCTGGCATGTCTTCACTGCTCCATCCTTCTGCATCTCTACCCTGGAAACGTCCTGGCTGTGGCCTCCAGCACACGTCACAGCGCTTCTCCTGCTCTACTTTGAACACTAGTGCTGCTGCTGTCATCACTGTCTGTCTGTCGCTCTGGTATTGATCCATCTGATAATCGGGATTATTGACAGTTTATTAATATCTGATTACGTCCAATTAGAAAACCTGGAATTGCCTTATTATTGCTTTTTTATGGCTTCATCACCCTGAAATCAGATCTGACTGATGGAGAAAGGCATTCTGGGAGGAACTAGTAGGAACCATAATCTGGCTGAATACTCGACTCTGATTGGCTGGAAGGTGTTGACTACTTCCTGATAAACAAATCTCAACATTGCGAAGGGTCTGCATCTGAAGCGAGTATCCATAGCAACAAGGATTGCGCTGACGACCAGGCTGATTCTGGTTCCTTCACCAGTTAAAAGATGAACCAGAACAACAGATCAGCTGATCCTCAGAGAGGCCAGACGACGGGGACGCTGAGTGCAGCGCTGCAGCGCCTCCCAGCTTCTGGTATCTCATCAGTCAACACGCTCCCTAACAAGTGACCACCTGCTGGAACTGGTCCTTCAGGCTGCAGCCCACCGCCACACCAGCTGGTCAGCATGCCTGGTAATTTGTGTACGTCTTCTTCAGCATACTTTCAAAGGGTCTTCACTGCTTCTCAATCCCACGTACATAACGTTCATGTTGTGGCTTGCAACTGATCCTCACAGGCCCATGAACGCACCGTCAGTGCCTGAGCTCCGTCCTGTTGAGGTTAACCCCAACCCTAACCCTACGTCATGGGGCGTCCAGTACGGCTGTAGCTACAGCTTTCTGACAACCTGACACACAATGAAAATGAAAATGAAGGATGAATGGTTGGAGCTCGTTACTTTGTGGAGATGGATCGACGTCCTCGTCAGGTGTCCACGAGAAAACAACACCGAACATTTTAGGTGAAATAGAAAAACACAGACTCACATCGAACGGACTGAAATCAACATCAAACTGTGAATTCACACCAACACGTAT